TTATTGGTCCTGAGGGGTTTATCTGTCCTGGATTCCCTGTGTTTCCAGCTCCTATCTGTACCAGTGTACATCCTCTGGTCTATCCAGATTTGTAAGGTAGAATTGGGATCCTGATAATGCAGGGGAGGAAGCATTAAAGAACTAGAGGAAAGTTGTATGTTTCATCATTGCTATACTGCACCCTGACTGGCTCTTCTCCCTGTGACCCTTCTGTAAGAAGATGTCCAGTTGCCTACTTTGGGCTTTGGGTCTCCACGCCGCACTTCCCCTCATTCACAATGATATAAACATCTACTTTCTATTTGAGCCCTTGGTATCAGCTCCTCTTTTTTCCTCTCCTTCTCCTACCCTCCCACATTTGTGAACCCGTGAAAATTATTATTATTTTCTGTCCTGGATTCTGTGTGTTGAGAACTCTTATCTATACCAGTGTTCATGCTCTGGTCTAGCCAGATATGTAAGGTAGAACTGGGGACATGATAGTGGTGGGGAGGAAGCATTAAAGAACTAGAGGAATGTTGTATGTTTTGTCAGTGCTACACTGCACCCTGGTGGCTCATCCCTTCCATGTGACACTTCTGTGAGGGGATGTCCAATTGTCTACAGATGGTTTTGGGTATCCACGCCGGCTCCCCTCCTTCACATTAATATGATTGTTTGTTTTGGGTCTTCTGATGCCTGATACCTGATCCCATTGACACCTCATGATCACACAGGCTGGTGTGCTCCTTCCATATGGGTTTGTTGCTTTCTAGATAGATGGCCACTTGTTTATCTTCAAGCAAGGCTGTAACTCTTTACCAGAGTAAGAAGCCTCATCTTTCTTCTATCGAGTGGCTGGTGGTTTTGAACTGATGACCTTGAGATTAGCAACCCAACATGTGATCACTAGGGCTCTTGACCTGCATTCAAGGTTCAAGAAACTGACAAATGCAGCCTATTTCTACCATCAGGGGACAGTGATGTTTGCCCAAGGCAATGATGCCAATAAATAAACAAACAAACCAAACTCATTGCCATCAAGTGTCATCTGACTCAGCAAACTGAACCTATAGGACGGAATAGGACTGCTGTAATGTGCAGGATAAATAATTTGGAGATGAAAAGAACAGGTCAATGGTTGTGGAGGGATACGGGAGAAGGGGAGGTGGGAGAAAGGAAGGGGGAAGATCAACCCAGGGACAAGGGAACAACAAGTGAACTAAAATCAGTGGAGAGGAGGGTGTAGGATACCTAGTGGGGCTTAATCAAGGGCAATGTAGCAGCAAGGAGTTACTAAACCCAAATGAAAGCCAAACATGATGGTGGGACAATAGGGAAGTAAAAGGAAATGGAGGAAAGAACCAGAAGGCAAAGGACATTTATAGAGGCCTAAATACAGGCATGTAGATATGTAAATAT